CACAAGATGATGTGGCTATTCCCATGAAAGTCCAAATCTAAGTACTTGCAGAAATGTCCCAGCTACTCTGAACACTATTGGACTTTCAAACTGAAGCAAAATTTATTTCTAAAGTCATTCCACTCTAGCCATATAGGCTTTCTAGCATGAGATGTTATTTCTGAAGAAGAACATAAGAAATGACTACTTGATTTGCCTCTGGACAACCTGAAATCGCTCGCTGGTGTTGATATCTGCATGACTGTGCATGCTGTATATTCATTTATACACACATAACAAGAAAACATAAACCCATGTCTTCTAGCAGGAAAAGGGAAACATTCCTAGTAATACATTTTCTTTAGGAAAACATTGATTGATATATACAGTATATAAAAAAAAACCCTATGCAACTGTCAGCATACAAAAATATGAGTTCAGTATGTTTTTATACGTCAAAACCGAACGATGAAAAATCCAGGTATCCTGAGACAGGTATGTACTCTGCATCTAAGTTACCAATGCCAGTGTACTGCTGGAGTACAATTAGAAAAGCACTACCTGCATTTATCAACAACTACAGAGATAAAATACATAAGGCAATGCATTAGCTTGAGGAACTCTCCTCTTTTCATAATGTTAACAAAAATGGTGCAAAATATGCATAAAATGCTCGCAGACATATCCATGAAGTAGCTGTAAAGAGTATGGAACAATATGTATATATACCACAGTTACTGATTTCACAATTTAAATGAAAATAAATGAAAGAAATAAATGAAAGATACTTTCCTTTTTTGAGCATCATGCTTAACCATGATGTGTATACTCACATTCAGGCAATTGTCTTAAATATTTATACATATACTACATCTGACAATGAATTAGTAAAACAAAAAATCACTGTTGTTTGCTTGCGAATTTCTCTGGGTAAGACCAGATCAATAAAACTGGTTCATTTTTTTCCATTAGGCAATTCTAACAACTGAAATGAAGTATGGTAAGTCCTCATCGACTTAAGTTTAATTGTTTTGGTTCTAAAACAGTAGAAGAGCAGTTCTGACCACTATTGACTGCATTAAACCAAACAAATAAAAACCAATCTCAAATTCTGATGCATTTGCTAAAACCCAGTGAAGATTATCAAAAAAGCCACTAAAGATTG